GATAAAACCAACGACTTCTCAACTGCTTGTTGCTTTTAGGAGTAGGAGAAGGAGTAGGTTCCCTGCTGCCAGACAACGGGCAAGGAGCAGAAGAGGCATTCCTCCTTTTTCTACTGTCGACACCCGACACATGGAATTGGGCCCGCTTTCGGGTTTCTCTTCCGCTAAATTTTGATTTGATTCGCATCTCTTTTCCACACTGCCACACGGTACCCCTGTAGACGGCTAAGCTGCTTTCCTCCCCGAACGGAGCACACCCTCACAAGGAGTCTGTCGGACCAGCGCCTCACTTCACAGCAGTTGCAGGCCTTCGTTTTTTTTTAGCTTGCGCTGTGCTGGGGGGACACAGGCAAACTTCACCTTCGGCTGTGTATAAAGGCGCATTAACGGGCACTCCGCGGACAGTGCGCTGCCATCTCCTTAGTGATCGTGGTGGTCTTCGGAGATTTTTGGCGATCGCAGGCGGGAGCTGCGAGAAGTGGCGTTTGCTATCTCTTCTTCCACAGCATTTCAGCCGAGCAGAGGGAGCTCAGGCGGCGACTCTAGGTGAACAGCTCCGGGAGCGGCGATTTTTGGGGGTGGGGGTGGGGGGGGGGGGGGGGGGGGGGGGTGTTATTTGCTGCCATAGCCAGAACCACTCATCTGTTGCCATAGCCAGGACCACGTGGAGACAAGAGCAAGGTGAGGCGAAAGGCGAAGACAAAGAGCATCAGGCACAGGCTTTTCCAGTCCGTGTCTACGATGGCGGCGATGGTGGTCCTGCTGATGCTGGGGCTTCTCCAGCTTGCCCTTCCTGGACTTGCTCAAAACCCACCATCTGATACGGTAGAGCTCGACGGCTTCACCTATCATGGCGATCACTGCCCGCTTGGAAGTTGTGAGGCCATTGTCTCCCCCGCCGGAGGGACGGTCACTATATGATACATCTTCGACTCACACGGGTCCTACCGGACCCGACTGAGGGCCGGAGGGACACACCAGGGCCTAAAGGCCCGACCTTTGGGGTAACAGGCCCTAAAGGCCTGATTTTGGACTAATCCCATCAGGTAGGCCCAAACGACACTTCGTTTGGGCCTGGCGGCGCTCTTGAAGCTGCCGCCCGCCGATTGAGGCTGAACCGTCCATCTGGACGGTCCAGGGTCTGGCCTGACCTCGCAGCATTGAGGCCAGACCATTGCCCACCGGTATCCGCCTCAGTTGAAGGATCGGCCTACCGGAACTCTACCGGCACGGCATGGTCAGTACTAGTGTACTGTTTGGATGCGCTAAACTTAGCGCAGGGGCTGAAGCAGGAGCGCAGCATAGTGCAGCAGCAAGCGGAGCAGCAGCAGGGCGACTGAGC